GAGTTAAAAAACGCTCTAGCTCCCTCGGGGACTTTCTCCCCCCAAGATCAAAAAGTCAGGGGGCTGTTAAAAGACAGCCCCAGCCGTTAACCAGCTCCTCATATCATGAAGTACGAAGGATAAAACAAATTCCTGACGTGTTGGGAGTCAGGCTTTCCAGGGCCCCCCCTGGACACCGAGAGCACCATTCAGCGCTCTCACTGAACCAGGGTCCGCGGAGAAAGGGAGAGGCCACCTCACCACTTATGTTGGTGGGGGGCTCTGTGTCTCCTGGGGTGGGCGTTCCTCAGTGTCTGAGGGCATTGGGGGCCCCACCCCCTCTGCAGGGGGGTCAAAGAACAACCAGAGGCCAGTCTCGAGAGGCTGGTACCCCTAGCACATTTTTTGGCAGCGTGGAACCACCTGCCGATGGTGTCCCAGTGGGTCCTGTTCACAGTAAAACATGGCTACAAAATACAGTTTTGTGCACGCCCACCTCGCTTCAACGGTATTGCACCCACCATAGTGAAGCCAGAACAGGCTCTGGTTATGGAACAGGAAGTACTGGCCTTATTAATAAAAGGCGCAATAGAGCGTGTTCTCCCACTCGACAGAGAGTCAGGGTTTTACAGCCGGTATTTTATAGTTCCCAAAAAGGATGGGGGATTGCGTCCCATATTAGATCTGAGAAATCTAAATCGGGCCGTCGGGGCCCTCAGGTTCAGGATGTTAACCATCAAAAACGTGGTGTCACAAATTCAGTCCGAGGACTGGTTTGTGACGATAGACCTGAAAGACGCATACTTCCATATTTCCATCCTTCCCCAACACAGGAAATACCTGAGGTTCGCTTGCGGGGGCGAAGCGTTCCAGTATCGGGTTCTTCCATTCGGCCTAGCTCTGTCACCTCGAACCTTTACCAAAATAGTCGAAGCGGCACTAGCTCCACTTCGTATGCAGGGGATACGTATCCTAAACTACATAGACGATTGGCTAATTCTAGCTCAGACTCACGATATGGCAGTTCGGCATCGAGATGTCGTTCTCACCCATATCAGAAGGTTGGGGTTTCGGTTAAACACCGCAAGAAGTGTGCTTGTTCCAGCCAGGACGACCATTTCTTTAGGTGTGCTATGGGACTCCATGACGATGCGAGCACGTCTGTCCCCGCCATGAATCGCTTCGATTCAGTCAACCGTACACAGAGTCAAACTAGGCCAGTTCATCACTGTGAAACACTTTCAGAGGTTGTTGGGTCTCATGGCAGCAGCAGCCAGCGTGATTCCGTTTGGTCTGCTGTACATGAGACCCCTGCAGTGGTGGCTCAAATCCAGGGGGTTTTCCCTCAAGGGGAATCCTTTCCGCATGATCAAGGTCTCGCGGCGCTGCCTTCGAGCCTTAAGTATGTGGAAAATATCCTGGTTCCTGTCCCAGGGCCCAGTGTTGGGGGCTGTCTGTCATCGCGTCATGCCTATGACAAATGCTTCTCTGACGGGCTAGGGAGCAACGGGCTTGATCCGCATGATCAAGGTCTCGCGGCGCTGCCTTCGAGCCTTAAGTATGTGGAAAATGCCCTGGTTCCTGTCCCAGGGCCTAGTGTTGGGGGCTGTCTGTTATCGCGTCATGCTTATGACAGATGCTTCTCTAACGGGCTGGGGAGCAACCCTGAGGGGGCTTCCCGCAGTGGGACGATGGGGAGAACATCATCATTACTGGCACATAAACTGCCTGGAGATGATAGCCGTGTTTCTGGCCTTAAAACACTTTCTCCCAGATCTAAGGGGCCATCATGTTTTAGTCTGCACGAACAACACATTGGTGGTCGCTTACATCAACCAGCAGGGGGGTCTGAAGTCTCGAATGCAATGCAAACTAGCACATCGGATCCTCCTGTGGGCCCAGAACAAAATCCTGTCCATCAGGGCAATGTATGTCCCGGGCCATCTGAACATGGGAGCAGATCTCCTGTCGAGGCAGGGGGTGAGATCCAGGGAATGGAAACTTCTTCACCCCGAGTTGGTGGAGTCCATTTGGGAAAGATTAAGGAAAGCGCAGGTAGACCTGTTTGCTTCCCAAGAGACCACGCATTGCGTACTATGGTTTTCTCTCTCGCATCCAGCCCTCTGTGACTGGTTGCCATGGTTCAGACATAGCCGAGGCTACGTCTGTATGCTTTTCCCCCGATCGCTCTGCTCCCAGGAGTCCTGGAGAGGGTCCGTCAGGACTGAGTACAGTTACTGCTGGTAGCCCCGGTTTGGCCTACCAGGATTTGGTTTTTCGGACCTCATAGCCCTGCTGGCGGGTCTCTCGTGGGAGATCCCCATCAGCAGGGACCTTCTGTCCCAGGCGGGAGGAATGATACTTCATCCCCTACCCGACCTGTGGAAACTGTGGGTGTGGCCTCTGAGGGGGCCCACCTCATAGAGTATGGACTGTCAACCGAGGTTGCTCAGACCATTCTAAGCTCCAGGGCTCCCTCCACAAGGAAGCTTTATGCCCTAAAATGGGCTCTCTTTTCAGCTTGCTGCAGAGAACACCAGCTGAACCCAGTCAGCTGCCAGGTAGCCTCAGTGCTGGAATTTCTCCAAGATCGCCTGTCTGCTGGGTTAGCTGCATCCACTCTGAGAGTGTACGTGTCAGCTATAGCGGCCTACCGTTCTCCCCTAGATGATGAGTCACTAGGACAGGATCCGCTAATTCGTCGCTTCCTTCGTGGAGCCATAAGGCTAAGGCCTGTCAGCACACACAGGGTACCGACATGGGATTTAACATTGGTGCTCGAGGGCATCTCTGTTCCCCCATTTGAGCCACTGCAGGAGGCGTCAGATAAGTTTCTGACACTAAAAACAGCTTTCTTATTGGCTATTTCTTCCTTAAAAAGGGTTGGTGACCTCCAGGCTTTGTCGGTTGCACCTTCATTTCTGGAGTTTGCTCCAGGCATGTCCAAAGCCTTTCTTTATCCCAGACCGGGGTACGTGCCTAAGGTGCCCACTCATGTGGCGAGACCTGCTGTGCTACAGGCCTTGCACCCGCCCCCATTTCAGTCGTCGGACCAAGAGAAGTTAAACTTACTCTGCCCAGTTAGAGCTCTGAATACATATGTTAACCGGGTTATCAACTGGAGAAAGAGTGAACAGTTACTGGTCTGCTTCGGACCCTCAAAAAGGGGGAGTCCGGCAAATAAGCAGACAATAAGTAATTGGATAGTTGAGATAGTTAATCTCATTTACCTATCAGGCTGCTGGACGCCCTGTACCTAAATTTGTTAAGGCCCACTCCACAAGGGCTGTCGGGGCCTCCAAAGCTTCTATTTCGGGCTCAGCCCTTTCTGACATTTGTTTGGCGGCAGGATGGTCGACTCCACATACATTTGTGCGTCACTATCAACTCGATGTAGACCCCTCACCAGGGTCCTCTATTCTCACTGCGTAGTGTGCGTTCACAGTCAGCAGTGAGTCTGGCCTAGTGGGTATTGCGTTCCCCTAGCGTTCTGGTTAGACGCAGTGTTGAAGTTCCCTAGAAGGGGAACGTCTCGGGTTACGTATGTAACCATAGTTCCCCGAGAGGGAACGAGACACTGCGTATTCCGCCATACTCTCTTCTGCCTGTTACTTCTTTCAAGCAAATTCGAAGTTGATACTGAATGCTCAGTACAGGCTTTTATACTCTCTGGTCTGACGACACCTGCTTAATTACATTAGATTGATTTCACATGTGCTTCAAGACGCGTATAAAAGAGGTGTTCTCCTAGCGTTCTGGTTAGACGCAGTGTCTTGTTCCCTCTCGGGGAACTATGGTTACATACGTAACCCGAGACGTTTTCACACATTTACACATATTTTCATAACCTTTTCTATAAAGTCTTCTTTCCTTTTCTTTGGCTTTTGTCCCGTATGATTGCGGGGTCGGCTCTTTTTGGATTAAGTTCTATATGCTAACGACTTTTTTTACACCTTCCGGTCAGCCTGTCGTATGGGCCTGTCACACTCATACACTACGGACAATTTAGCTTACCCAATTCACCTGCAGCATGTCTTTGGACTGTGGGAGGAAACCAGAGCACTCAGAGGAAACCCACGCGAACACAGGGAGAACATGCAAATTCCTCACAGAATTGCCAACTGAGCCGAGGTTCGAACCAGCTACCTTTTTGCTGTGAGGCGAACGTGCTCCCCACTCCGCCACTGCGTCGCCAACCTTTTCTATAAAGTAATTTCCTTCAATGAAGCCATGAGAAGCAGCTCAATGAATGTCAAATCTATTCGAATGTTTAATATCAAGCGCAAATGCTGTGTATTTAAAATGATGCATGAAGTTCTTTACATGAAAGGTGCATTGTTAGTATTTCAACAATATTCTTGTTTATGTTATTGTCTGAATGATTACTTAAAGATTAGGACAGAGTTTTGACGAAAACTCACAAAAAGTAAAGGGAAAACATGTAAAAGCGGTGATTCTGTATAATCAAACAGCTTGAGTTATATTAATGAATTCATGATGACTGTTTCGTGCTGACTATCTCTGCATTATTTTCTCCACAGATGAAAATGTACTTTGGCTTCTCTGTAGGATATCTAATCATTTCTCAAAAAACAAACAAAACAAAAAACCAGCGTGTAAATGTGTGAGGTTTTCTTCTGGCGTAAAGGATTATTTCTCTTTTGATTACTTGTGTGTAATTGTGAATGTAAATAAATGTAAACTAGTTTTCTTGTGTCCACTGAATTTATTAGATCTGCAAAGTTTTTATTGTAAGAGTCTAAACACCCAAAGTCAGATCTGATGAACATGAACAGTAATTGATGAATGTGCTGCACAATTAGTGCAAGGGGAAAGATAAAGGATCTATGAAAGATGTTTAAAGTGATGAAAAAACGATTTAATTCAAAAACCTTTGGGAGAAAGCAAAAACAAAACTTACATTAATATTACATTAATACGTACATTAATTGCAACTCATTTGGTCTGCATCAAAAGAAATGTCATTTGTCTTGCTTTTTATATATTGTTTAAAGTTTTATCATATCCTTGGTTAATTTTGCTCCGTGCTCAAGGTGTATTGCATGTTACACATTTAATATTTGGCAATATTTTTTTTTTTGCAACTTACATGGAAATATTGCATAATATTAAATGGAAAACCACACCAATCTCTCCACCCATATGTCCCAGATCAAAGTGACAGACATCCTATATAAAGACAGACATGGTCAGATTAAAGTCAACCAAACACCTGGAGAGACACAGAAGAACAGCTGATACTTCACACAGGTACTGTATGATCCAGTCCACTTTATGAAAAATCTGAATCAATAATCATTTTGTATGAGATATATGGTCTGTTATTTTAATTGTTTTTGCTGTTTAACAAGGTAAACCACTGGTCTTTTTAATAGTTGCTGATTAGGGATTGGCATTTCAACACTTTAGAGATTAATTCTTGAGCTTTTTAACCTGCTTGTGCTTTTTTCTTTTTTGTTTCTTAAAACACTTTACAAATGTGTGAGAATTTGCAAAAGCATGTTTAAACCCTCCAGAACAACATCAGTGCAGATTTAAATACTAATATTAATAATATAACAACAATTCTTATTATTCTTATGTATTACATTTATTTTAATACCCTAGACTTTGAAAAGCCTCAAGACATGTCTGGAAAAACATGGGTTCTGCTTGTTGCTGGCTCAAAGGACTGGGACAATTACAGACACCAGGTTTGTGCTTCTTTTTCTTTATTATTATCAAAACATTTCTTATGTATTCCACAAGCTGTGCTGGATGAAAATTTGTTTATAGCTGTAATTAAACATAGAAAAATGTGTGTGTGTGTGTGTGTGTGTGTGTGTGTGTGTGTGTGTGTGTGTGTGTGTGTGTGTGTGTGTGTCTGTGTTAGGCCAATGTGTGCTGTGCATATCAGTTAATGAAGAAGCAAGGAATTCCTGATGAGCAGATTGTGGTGATGATGTATGACGACATCGCTAATAATCCCAAGTGAGTTTTGTCCTGCAGCGTTTGACTCTTGTGTGTTTCATAGTGAAACTTGATCTTATATTGTGTCCCAATGTCCAATCTATCCATTCTAAATATACAGTAATAAGAGCTGATATTGCCCATAAGCCATTGCATTTGGAGGGAAGCTTCAGTTCAGAGCTTCATACACAAACAAAGATTTATGAACTCATCAAGAAGAAAAAAAGATCATTAGTTAAGAGAGAAGAGAGAGAGCCTTATTAATAAGCATAAGTGATTAATCTAACCAGATTGAAAACAGTAAATGGTGTTATTTCATCCACTAATATACAAAAAGAGTTAGTAGGCGTTAACTTTTTCAGAGACCACACCTACTGCAGGTGGTTCTGACCAATGACACAGAATCCTTCTGTTTGACTCCTGGTACATTTGCATGGTAAAAATGCATTTACAGTTTTGAGATTGTGACCTTTTACTCCGCCAACTACTCTGGCATTTTTATGCAGGGGGTGCGCTTCCAGTCAGAACACAGCACTGAGAGTAGACGGACTCGTGCTTGGAAACACTAATACACTCTGTCATTCACACACTTAAGGGCCAATCTTGTTTTGTAGGAAGCATGAGTGTCTCTCTCTGTCTTTCTGTGGATGTTTGTCAGAGATTGAGGCAAACTCACATTCTTTAGGGACGTAAATCTTGACTTTACCATAGTTACCAGAGACTTCAGTGGGAGTTGCAAGTATACTGTAACACACTGCCTGTTTCTTTGGTGAGGGTTGGTGTGTATTCAGCCTGATCTCACGAGAAAGCCTAAGTATTTTACCTTTTGTCAGTTTAGTGGCTAATTCGTACAAATTCGTATGAGTTCAGTTGTACAAAAATGTACGATTTTAAAAAGGAGGAATGGCACCAAACCCCACCCCTAACCCCAACATTCATTGGATGATGAGCAAATCGCACTAAATTGTACGAATTAGATCGTACGAATTCATACGAATAAGCCACTAAATCAAAAAGTTACGAATTGCCGTGAGATTGTGTTGGTGTACTATACTTGGTAAATCTTACATGAGTAATTGTGTTTAATCGGTCTCAGACTCTTCTTGAAGAAATTGATTTAAAATGATTTCAAGTTTACCATCACTTCCATTTTATTTAGAAACAGTCTTGTATTAGTGTTTAATTTTTTGTAATTGAACAGAAGTGTTATAAATGTCAAATTTTTTAAAAGAGAAAAATTAGGACAAAAGCAAAATAAACATTACAACATCATCACAGGAAAGGTCTGATGGGTGGTGCTAATGTGTTAAACGCTTTCTTCTTCTTCTCTGTCTGCAGCAATCCCTTTCCTGGAAGCATCCGCAGTGTTGTTGATAGAACAAACGTGTACAAATCGGTGCCTCTGGACTACACTGGAAATGTAACTTCTTTGCTTTTCATTAATGTGAAACATCCTTTCATGATTTGATCAGTATCTGAGCATAATTATTGTCTTACAGAAGGTGAAATCGAAGAATTTTCTTGCCGTTCTTCGAGGGGATGACAGTGCTGGGGGGAAAATCATAAGAAGGTTTGTGTTTGTTGATGATTCAGTGTTTAAGTATATTTTACTTTTGTGCAGTTTTTTAGCAGCCAATCTTTGAGTTCTCATGTTTGTTTGTTTTTTTACAGTTAGTTCATTAATAATTCAGTAGTTGACAGCATTATCAGCCGTCAAACTGATTTGTCTAAAATGATCATTTGCTATTCTAATGTACAGTTAAATAATTGTGACAGACTTACTGCTTCTGTTCTTGGTCTTGTAATTCCTGCTTGTAGCTAAAATAAAGCATCATTTTCATTTAATGCAGTAAAAAAAATGACAACATACTCATCTACATGTCAGGAGTGGGAAGTGATGCCAACTTTAAATTTCCTCAGGACTCTGTAAGTACAAAAAGAAAAGTTTCAAAAGATCATATACACACACACACACACACACACACACACACACACACACACACACACACACACACACACACACACTGAGGTTTTTGATTTTTGTGACTGCACATTACGGCATTATCAATCTGAACAAGCAACTGTAAATATTTTCATGGTACAATACAAAGGTTACCCTCACTACAACTAGAAATGTTATAAATGATATTGGGATTGTGTTTAATTGGACTGCTTGTTCACTTCTAGATGATTAATTCTGTATTTTTATGACAGCTTGATGCACATCAGTTCACAACAACAATAAACACTATGTCTGACGATAAGAAATACTCAAAGGTACGTATTCAGTGAATCTTGACTGAAGATTGAATATTTTTAGCACCATTTGTACAGTTATTTTTTATTATATGACAAATGAAACTGATTATTTGCTGTCGCCTTTTCCACATCACAGAATAAATTCCAGCTTGTAATCTGAAAGCTAATTCAGGCCTGGTGTATATTCTTGCTTTTAACATTCACAAAGCTTTTAAGTGGGGGCTAATGTTTTCTGTAATGATATAGAAAACACTATTAATCTCTGTATTTTTTGCAGATGGTGATCTTCATGGACAGCGATAACTCTCAGTCAGTTTTCAAAGGCCTTTATACAAACATCCATGGTGAGATGGCACTTTTTAAAAAAGTTGTCCATAATTTATTTAATGAAAAAGTAATAAAATTAATTAATTAATTAACTGAGAGGCATTGAAAAATCTAATGTGTATATGTCCTCTCCAGTCTATGGAGTGGCTTCATGTGACTCTGCTAACCAGAACAGAAGCGTTCAGAACGACCCTGACAGAGGCATTTACCTCTCAGATCAATTCTCAGCTGCCTGGCTGACGTTCATTTCTACGGTAGGAGTTTGTCATCAGTGAGCTTTAACTGTATTTGCCAAGTCTACATCGTATTACATTAAAAGTAAAGCATGCTTATTTGTCTGAACTTTTACAGGCTGATCTTGAAAAAGCTACATTCAGTAAGCTGTTTGAGTACATCAAAAACAAAGATGATTCCTGTCCCTGCGAGATTGGAGACAAGGTATGAAAGTCCAACACTTTATGAGAATATATCTTCTCTTTCTTAAACTTTAAGTGAATATTTAATTATTTCTTTCACAACTAAACACGAACAAGCATTTTAAACATTTCTAAGCTGCTGTGAATTTCTTTTGTTTCCCTCTTTTTAAGGAAATTCCTAAACTTCTGATCAGTAACTTTCTGAAGTTGGAAGACTGTTCAGACTGCGCTTGAGAAGACTTCTCCCTGAAGCGCTGATGAAAATGATCAGCATAATCTGATGACCTTTTCTTTTCTTCTTTCAAACCTCTGCATTAATGATTAGAACTGAATCGAGTGCAACATTATATACGCTATCTGCTGACAGTTTGTGCTTAGTGAGATTTTAAAATGGCTTTTAACTAAAAGAAATGCTTTAGATTAAATTGATGTGCTCCTGCTAAAGGTATTTTTTATTTAGAAACATCATATTGATTTCCAACTGTCTGTGATTCTTTCATTTTACGTAACTGTAGCTAATGAGCTTTTTATTATTTAGTTTGGACTGGGTTTTTTCTTTCTTCTTCTTTTTTGATCTAAAATGACTTATTGGGACTGTGTGTGAACTAACAACCAAAAAAATGAATAAAACTGGGAAAAGGGAAAAATGCTGTGGTTTTGTGCTTTATTTATTCTGCATGGACATCATTTTTACAATGTCTTATAGAGCATGTAGAGTTTCCAACAGTTTGTGCGTTCATGGGTGCATCAACCTAGAAACATTTCTAATTTGCTGAACTGATGCTCAAGAAACATTTTATTATCACAAATATGTTGGAACCTGCGACTAAGTAATATTTCAAAGCAAGTGATTATTTCTTCTAGAAATATGTTTTATAAAAAAAAAATGTAACTGATGAAAATCTAATTACAATTGTATTATACGGCACGGTGGCTCAGTGGTTAGCACTGTGGCCTCACAGCAAGAAGGTCACTGGTTTGAGTCCCGGCTGAGTCAGTTGGCATTTCTGTGTGAAGTTTGCATGTTCTCCCCATGTTGCCGTGGGTTTCCTCCGGATGCTCCGGTTTCCCCCACAATCCAAACACATGCGCTATAGGGGACTTGGGTAAGCTGAATTGGTCGTAGTGTATGTGTATGTGTGTGTGAAAGAGTTTCTCAGTACTGGGTTGCAGCTGGAAGAGTATCTGCTGTGTGAAACATATGCTGGTTAAGTTGGCGGTTCATTCCACTGTGGCAACCCCTAATAAATAAGGGACTAAGCCAAAAAGAAAATGAATGAATACCTTGCATTTGGTGCATACAGAGTCATACACAGTAAAATGCTTACAGTACCACTCGTGACCTTGAATTAGTGACAACAATAACAAAATAAAGTAATAATATAACAATAGAATCTACACGATGGAGAAATTGATGTTATGCAATAGAAAATAAAAGCAACTATAAAATATTTTATTATATATATATATAATGATCTACTATTGGCAGCAGACTCTGGTTTACTGTCAATTCTTATTCTCCTGGACTTGAGTGCAGCCTTTGACACGGTTTCGCACGAGGTTTTTTGAATAGGCTTGCCTCACTAGGGATCTCTGGCACCCCTCTTTTATGGTTGAAGTCATATCTTGAAGATCGTACTCAGTTTGTTCAAATTAAAGATTTTAAGTCAAGATCGCAGATTGTCACTACTGGTGTCCCACAGGGTTCTGTACTGGGTCCACTCCTGTTTATCATATATCTACTGCCTCTTGGTCACATTTTCAGAAAATACAACATACAATTTCACTGTTATGCTGACGACACTCAACTCTACCTGTCCACCAAGCCCTCCTGTTCTTTTCCTCCTCCTGCTTTGAGCAGATGTTTAGCTGAAATAAAAATCTGGCTTTCAGCTAACTTTTTAAAATTAAACAGCGACAAAACTGAAGCCCTTCTCATCGGCACTAAAAGTGTTTTGGATAAAGCTGATAAATTCACTATAAACATTGATAACAGTACAATTTTTCCCTCCATGCAGGTAAAGAGTTTGGGTGTCATCTTGGATAGCACACTCTCATTTGAAGGTCACATTAATAATATTACACGTACTGCATATTTCCACCTGCGTAATGTCACTCGTCTCCGCCCTTCTCTCTCAACTAACACAGCCATTCTCATCCACGCATTAGTTACTTCACGTCTTGACTACTGTAATGCACTTCTTTCTGGACTTCCTTCCAAACTTCTCCATAAACTCCAACTGGTTCAGAACCATGCAGCTCATGTCATCTCTAGGACCCCATCTCACGAGCACGTCACACCACTCCTCTATCAGCTTCATTGGCTTCCAGTAAAATATCGAATTGATTTTAAAATATTACTTCTAACTTTCAAGACACTTCATAATCTTGCTCCTCAACTTCTCCATATCTACACACCTTCTCGTACCCTTAGGTCAGCTAACAACTTCACTCTGGCACCACCTCGCACTCGACTGAGCAAAATGGGAGACAGATCTTTTAGCTCTATGGCTCCTAGGCTATGGAACTCACTTCCAGTAGATCTTAGGAGCAGTGATAGTCTTCACAATTTTAAATCACGTATAAAGACCCATCTTTTTAAGCAGGCTTTTACTTAACAATTTTTTTATCATGTTTTTATTATGTTCTTTTATATTCGCTATTGCGTTTTAACTTGTTTGGTCATTGATTGTTTTTAGTAATGTTTAAGTTGTTTAGCATGTCTGATGATGCTTACTGTAATGCGACCTTGGGTGTCCAGAAAGGCGCCATTTATAAATAAAATGAATTATTATATATATATATACATGTTACATAGTAATTTACTAAATAATTAGTAGTTAAAATTACTAGTAATTTTTACTGTACATCATTTTAATGTGTGTATAGGCATCTAAAGGCATAGTACCAGGATGATCCACAGTCTCCTCAGCCAGATCTGGAACTTTAGAGGTTGAGCTGTAAACCTGTGAGGGAGAAAATAGATGTGAGTGAGCAAAGATTTAAAATAATAAAATATAATAATATAAATAGCAAACTACTAAACTTAAAAATTTAAACGTGTTAGATGACCAAACAAATAAGCTTACATTACATATGTCATCATGCTAGATGTCATCCTATTTAAGTGTCACATATGCTTGTCAAGATTTTTTTTTTTAAGTTAACAGGCTTGAATACAATTAGATAATAAATAACAATGTGCCAACACCACATTTTAATTAATATTATGTAAGTTATCAAAACTGGCATTCAAACTCGACAAACTGCTTGACACTCATTTAAAATAAAGACTATCAAATAAAAAAAAAAATCAAATCACTTTTATTGTCAAATTATCAGCAGCACGTGTGCTATGATGAGTGAAAAGCTTAGACTATTCTAACATGACTATTCCTTACTACCGTTTGTAATTTTATTTTGGGGGAGTTAATATATACCAAGTATAAAATTTCACAGGAATGCAAAACAAACTATACATTTATCTGTCTATAGAGTGGAAAAGACACAGGGAACATGGCAATTTCATAACAATACTATACACAAACACAACATAGTATTACAAGGGAGTAGATTTATGATTCATGTTGTCACAGCCTCAGTATAAATACATAAAAAGTAAAAAAAAATCTCACCTGTGTGTCCACATTGGGGAAAGCTTTGTGCACGTTCTCAATTTGTACTGTAATCTTCATCTTTTGATTCCCATAATATGGCGCCGAGCTGAGAGTGATCGTTGTGGTTTGAATCTTCTTCTTCTTCTTGTGTGTTTTATGGCGGTTGGCAACCAGCTTTTGGTGCATTACCGCCACCATCTGGATTGGAGTGTGGATCCGGAGTTAACTAACCATGTTTTATAGTTAAACAAAGCCCAACCATAAAAAAAAAAAAAATAAAATATTACAAATAAAATTTTTTATTATTTTCCTATACATATAAATAAATTACTAAATGTCCCAAACTTTGATATTTCTTTCTCTATAATACCTCTATATGATATAGATAACTATTCATCTAAATACTAAATTCTATTAATCAACCCTGTGTCTTTCAAATAGTTATAAACATATCTAAAACATACATCACCCGTGCTCAACTTTAGTATGTTCTTTATGTTAGGTTCCACTTGTTTTTCCTGTAACTGTGTGAATAATATATTTCTTTCTGTCTGATATATTGGGCAGTGCATTAATACATGTTCTACAGTTTCCTGGTTGTTACATTCACACATCCCATCTGCATGTTTGTTGATCATATGTAGTGTGCTATTGAGTGATGTGTGATTAAATCTCATTCTTGAGAACTTGTCTTCTTCCTTTTTGTTTTTCCTTGTTTCCCTACCTTTCCCAACTATGTTCTGTATGGTGTAATATTGACGTCCTGTACTCCCATTATTCCATATATGTTGCCATTTTCCTAATATTTTGGTTTTAACTATACTTTTGATTTCTGACTTGCTGTATTTGATGTCCATGTCTATCATAGTTTGCTGTGCTGCTTGTTTAGCCAACTTGTCTGCCATCTCATTTCCACTAACCCCTATGTGCGCTGGTACCCACAATAATGAAATGATAACTCCTGATTTAATGATATTATTTCCCAACTGTACTATTTCATATATTATGTCCTGCCGTGATTCTGATACTACATTTTTAATACTTATGAGTGCTGAACTTGAATCAGACGCAATGACTGCTTTAATTGGTTTATTGTCCTCTACCCACTTTAGAGCCAACCATATCGCTACCAATTCTGCTGTATAAACTGCTAAATTATTATTAATTCTTTTTGTAACTTCAATTTTTAACTTTGGAATACTGAATGACACTCCTACCCTTTGTCCAATTCTTGATGCATCTGTGTATATTTCAGTTGTTTCACTGTATTTTTCTCTTATATAATTTTCCACTTGTTTGCTGTCAATCTCATTTTCTTGTTTTTCTTTCATTATTTCAAAATCAACTTCCAAGTCATCAAGCAGCCATGTGGGAACTACTGGAAATACTATAGTGGGCGAAATTTTTATTGTATCTATTTCCATATCATTTATTTTTTGTTGTATTGTCCATCCATACCCTTTAATGCCCCGTTTCTCTCGTTCTTGGCATTGCATCAGAACTGTCTGTGCTATGTGATTTTCATTATGGCCTTTCAAGTTCGCCCAGTATACTACCTCCAGCTGATCTCTCCTAAGGTGTAGAGGCATCTCTCCCATTTCAACCTGTAATGCTGCTACCGGTGTGGTTTTCATGGCTCCACAGCATACTCTTAATGCTTGGTTTTGGATTACATCTAGCTGTTTTAATGTTGTATTAGCAGCTGATCCATACACCATACATCCATAATCGATCACTGATCTTATCAACCCTGTATAAATTGTTTTTAATGCCACTCTACTAGCACCCCAGTCTACACCACATAGGCACCTCATTACATTTAACACTCTTTTACATTTATCCACCATTTTCCTAATATGTGTGTTCCATGTAAGTCTCCTATCAAACCACAATCCCAGATATTTAAAAGATTCAACATTCTCCAAATCTTTACCTCCCAATTTCAATTTTAAATCCTCTCTTATTTTCTTTTTGGTAAATAACATGGCTTTAGTTTTTTCTTGAGATATTCTAAATCCCCACTTAACTGT